TATTTTATTTCAATTATTAAACTGTTTTTATCTCAACCCACGAGTTTTTATCACTTCTACTCTTCCAATTCTCTCTCCCATCCCACCGGGGAGTGGGGGGGAGAAGTGAGTGAGCGGCTGTGTGGTACTCCGTTGCCAACTGAGGTTAAACCACAACAAGAATTTACAGTCCAGGATCAGTAAAAGCATCTTTTTACCTCCCTTGAAACTCAATTAGGAAGGCACAGGTTGCTCTAGAAATTAACCAGGAAGATTATGATCTGTCTCCTGGGAAGTTCCAATTCAAAACTCATTTCCAGTTGTGCATGTTTCACATGCAGAATTAGGATCCTTGTCAAGTGCAATGATCCATCTTTTAAAGAAACTCCTACCAAAATAAATTACTGAAATCAAGAAGCTGGATGTAATCATTCCCCCCTTTCCCCCGCTTCCCCTTCTCTTTTATGGCCTTGTGCAGACAACCTGCACCAAGATGCCAAGGATATGAAGCTCTGAACTGCATCTTAAGCACGTGATGTATACAGAACCATTTGCTGTTTATTGACAATTTTGAATGCTTAACTGTGTTGCTGCATAAATCACTTTTCTTACAAGAATTACATGATACACTTTTCCCAAAACTGACATTTTTGCAGCGCTACAATCTTTGCAGAAGTTGACAGACTCTGGGGGAAGACAACTACTTCAGCTTTCCACAAGGTGGCATAGTTCCCTTTGCTGAAAGACAACATTACTAGTGCCATTGAGGACATTTAATTTTTTTCTTTAATTTTTTTTCAAACGTACTAGCCACTGTCATGAATAGGTTTAAATAGGTTTAAGATCGTTAAAATCTCTCTAACAAGGTTCATTTTAACAAATTCTTCCAAAAGAGAGTTTAATGAGTTAAAAAAAAGCTTCCTTCTCTTATGCTGAAATGAAGAAAAATTATCTGTGCTTGCTGCCACGCAAAAGCAAGCTTTAATCAAATATAGTTAAGGCACGTCACGTGGCAGAGAAGAGCCTAAGGGGCTAAAAAATTGGATTTTCCAAGTCTCAGGTCATCAGTTTCAAATCCTATCAGAATTCTTTCAGTCTCGCAGTATTTTGGGTAAAACGGGCTAGCAAGGAATCCACCTACCACACCCACTTCCCATCCATGTGAGAATTAAAGATCCCAGAGCATTTTCCACAGGTGAAGATTTTCCCTGCTGTTTCCAGACCACTTCCCATCCCTGTGGGGTGCGGCCATTCTGCAGCTGCTTGTCCTGTCCTCGGGACAGAGGCAGATGCACTGAACAGCTCTGCCCACAGCCTCTCCTGCTGCAAAGCAACATCAGCGCTGCTGAGCTTCACCCGCAGGACCACACACGCGGTCACTACTGCCCCTGCACAACATCCCCATCAGGCAGTGCCAGACAGCAGGTAAGGTCCTTTGATTCAAGTGATTTAAAAAAAAAACAAAACAAAAAAACCCCAACAAACCAAAAAAACCAAAACCAACCCAAACATGTATAGTTTCTCCTCTGTTTCTTGTCTTGCTCCTCTCAGTCACTTCTGTGAATGTTTCAGCACTCAGTTTTGACTACCCGTTTGAGTGTCAACAGCATGGTTTTGCCTAAACAGGAGAAACAAAACCAGCTCTGACAGACAAAAGAGGACAAGCTTTTGGCATTGACCCATTTCCCTGACACCGGATGGGTATCAGTTCATAAATTTTGAAGTTTAAACAGCAAGCCAGAGAGGGAAGGGAGATGATGACACGAGTTATTCGCCCACACAAATACTGCTACGGTTCTCCATGCAGGAAGGGCTCCTAATTCTACCCAGTGCAAATCATCTGGGAAAGAGTCAGACATATCAAAATACTGCCTCCCTATAATGCTTTCCATACCGTACGGCTTATCTTGAAAGGAACAGCTTTCTGGTTCTGAGGGCTGGTACCTAATGCTCATCACTCCTCTCCATTTACTGTGCTCAGAATTTAGTGCTTGTCATTGTAACAAGCACAGCTGAAACCCTTGCTTTTTAGCTGCCAGCCTGCCAAGCAAAACACATTTATTCACATCTGATTTAAACATCACAAGACAAATAATCAAGATGACAAAGAAGTTTAAGTACCCCGATCAGTCTGTTTTCTCTCCTAAAATACATCATTAATGTTATTATAATTATTAACTCTGTTACATACTGTCTTCCTCCGTGTAAGTAGCTTCTGATCCTGTCAGTCACTGCAGGTGTATGGCACAGCCAAAACACTCATTTAAATTACTTGGATTTCCAATTATAGATATTCACAAACATCCTTAAAAATGGATGCAACCACAAGGCAAAACCATCAACAAGACAAATCTGGAGATATGTATACAAGCATTCAACACCTTCTGCTGCTTCTTTCTCCTCAAAAAACTTAGATTACAACAGTAAAGGCTCTGATTTAATTATGGTGCTGTTCACATGATGGTCTCATTTTTCCCTATAAATTTTATCCTCAAACTAATTTGCATTCTCTGTTCTAAAATACAAAGTTCCTTGTCCTAAAAAGTAACTTCCTTGTTACTAGCTGCGAGTTCAAGCAGACACATAAATAAGGAAGAATACTTTAAAAAGGGACAAACTCGAGAATAAAGAGCAAATTCTGTCACAGAATGGCCCAGGAAGCTATCCAGCCACGACAAACAACAGAGCCCCCTCTCACTCAGGACAGAAAACTCACTTAGCTGTGCAAGGGGTCAGTTATTACAGTTGAACAGTAGAATCTTGATCTTTAACATTCAATTTCTTGGCTTACATGATTTTAAAATAAGTCACACTTTCCTGACCAAATTGAACGAAGCTTTAAATCTGCAAATTCCTTTGATGGAATTAGTCTTGCATGGTCAATCTACATTGTGCCAAGAGGAGGAGTACAGTTAATTTCAAAACCTAGGAGACATTCTGCACCTTGCAAGTTATGCTTACAATTGCAAATTTTTAATTATTATCTCATTGTGGATCTTCTTACAGACCTTGGCTTCTGGATCACTGTTGATGCTACAAGAATCATCATCATCAGATTGTGGACCATTTCTGTTACACACACAAAAAAAAAAAGACAAAAATCAATCTTAAAATCATATAAAATTACAGCACAGCACAAAATGGAGCTGGTCATTCCACGGAGACTTCCAAAGTCATTTTACCTGAGCTTCAAAGAGGCATAGCGTAACGTTGCTCCTTCAAACTCTTTCAGACTTGGGTCTGGGTTCACAGTGGCTGCATGCAGATCCTAGAGATAAAGGCAGTGCTATTAGTATAGTATTAAGTGCTATGAATATAGTATTAAGTACACCATCATGTTATTTCTTATTTCAAAGGGAAATTAAATCCTCCCTGCAAAGAAGCGATAGTATTTCTGGCTGAAGTTGAAAAGAGGCATGCATATATTCTCAAGCTGCATTTCATTCAGTGCAGGCATCTTATTCGTTACATCATGGCAGTTGCCCTGCTAGTTTAGACTGAATCCATCCCAAGTGGAAAGATCAGAAAAGGCAGCATGTTTGTGAGCTAGACAACCCTAGCAGTACCCCCATTCACTTTGGCCTAGGTTATGAATGACATTCATGGAAAAATAAAAGGGGAAAAAAAACAGCCACTGCCATGCAAAAAACAAGTGTAATAGTATTAAAGGTTCTAAAATCTGACAATATACTTGCCTTCCAAATGTCACTATTAATCTTTCCCCCATTCAGTACAGCAAAATCACTCCATGGCTGTTTCTAGACACATAATTATTCACACAGGAAGAAGCACATTGATAAAAAAAAAAAAAAGAAAAACACAAGACACTGTTGTTAGCATTGATATTTACAGGATGGGTTAGGGAACAGATCACCTCAAACTTCAACTAATTACTCCACTATACCATGGCATTTGGAGGAAAGGGGAGAGAAGACATGCCTCTAACAGTTACTTACCAAAACAAATGATTGAAACAAGGAAAGTTAATATAAATTAGGAACAGACAATGAAATTACTCTTTAACTATGATTTTAAAAGCAAGCAAAATGAACCTGAATATGAATGTTGGCCACAGCTGCTACAGCCTTCATAAACAGCAATTAAGGGGAAACATTAGGATTTCTGTTTGATTAGCACTTTTGTTAAAAGACCCTAACACTATTGGAACTAGAAATACTGAAACACAATGATATATACAACGATAACAGGGTAAAAATCAAATATTTCTAGAGAGAAAGCACAAGAAAAGGACAGCAAAGGGAAGGAGGATTAGTAAGGAGTGCAGAGAGATTTCTTGCTGAAAAAGTAGTTTTGTAAAGTCTAGCAGCTTTTTTAAAAAAACAACAAAACCAAAAAAAACCCCAAACAAACCACCCATCCTCTCATTTTCCATTCAAGTTTCTCAAAATTTTCAGAGGTGTTCACTGGTACGATCAAGCAAGTAGCAGTGCATTTACCACTATAGCAGCCTGAGGTTCATCCTTCTCTGTAATGCCTGGGAGGAACAGCTGATGTTAGAGTTTCCCCTCTCCTCTTCCCCACAAGGACAGAAATCCCACAGTCCTGAACCAGAGTCAGGTGGGACAGGAGATCTGGTTGCCAAGACACCCAGAGCCACCTCTTTGTAGTTTCACCAAATCAAGTATTCCTGTAATTATTAGTGGCCCCTTTTAAGATGAGCTCTCCCAGGTTGTCCAGCTCAGCCCCAAGATGAAGTGGTATCTATTAATATGGCCCAATGCATTGATTTGCAGGGTGGACCTCTCACCTCAGAAGTGTTCTCAGTACATCCCCACTGGAGGAATTATTTGTGAGAAACAACTCCCAGGAGTAACTATTCCCTGACATGCCTTTGAATTAATCGAGTTGCCAGCTTTTCCTACTAAGCCCCTCCTCTTTAATTATTAGCTGCTAGTGGTTATGTTACCTACAGAAGAGCTTCTAGAGGTGATCCAGGCCTGGAATGAGTCAGGCTATAAGACGACACAACTACCATCACCAAATTCTGCCATAATCTCATTGAAAATGAAACCCTACAGCTTTTTCTCTGCACAGGAAATGGGAAAGAGGGAGCAAAATCTCTGAAATTTGGAAAAGAACGTTACAAAAGATGACTTCCTTCACAAAGGAATTCATTTGGAAACACACAGGAGAAAAGAGCCATCTAAAACTAAGTCAAATTTAATCAGCTGTGCAAAACCAAAATACATTTTCATGCTTTTGAGGGGGAGGAAGGGAAGGAATGTTCCAGGTTATTCATATTTAGCATTTATTAGCATTTTTGTTAAATCTGCAGGATTTTTGCATAATGCTTAACCCATAATTGCTTTGGATTGAAATTTACCAATTATCTTGTGAAAGAAAAATTGCCTTGCAGCCTGTGCAGAAGACATTTTTGCATTTTTTCCTTTTTAAAACTGTTTCTGCCATTTGTATGCATTACAGCATCATTCCTCCCTACCCATTTTTTTCTGATTCTCTGTTCAACAATAGTAAGTAACTGCTTTTCTTTATGCTAAATATCCAGAGTAACTACAACACAAAAATGGCTGACTTGATCTGTTCTTTGTTGACTGCTCTCAGCTGTAAGCCACATTCTACCAAATGAAGCAAAACTGTATATTAGGTCATTTAAGAGACAGAGACACAAAATAATTAAAAAAAAAAAAAAAAAAAAGAAAAAAAAGGAGGAAACAAGACAAAGGGTAAAAAGGCATTACTCCGGAGGAAAGAAAAAAAAAAAAAAGGTGTTTCTAAATGTTTATATGACAAACTCAAAAGCTGAAAGAGCCCAAATAAACTCATCTCAAGACTAGCACATGATGCTTCACAGACAAATGTGATAAAAGTATTTTTTATGGACTCACAGAAGCCTATTGGGACAGATACGAAAGGCTACCCATGCCAGTCTTCAATCCTAGATTATACTCTTTCATCTGCCTAAAACCTATACATCCCCCAATCTTTTCAGAAGAAAGCAATACAAATTCCAGCACGTGGGAATGAGCTAAACCAGCCCTCCCAAGCCAGATTATCTCGGAGCACAGGCTTCCAAACAGCAATGAGAAAACCAGCAGTACACAGCTCACACGTGGTCCAACTTGGACCTGGAAGCTGTCCACTACAACTGCTGCTGCCAATGGTAGCGCTGGGATAAAGGCGTTTGGGAGCCCCTATTCTAGATCGAATTCCACATCTTTTGTGAAGTGTCAGATTGACCGTATCACAGACATCCAGGTTAATCTTTCACGGGGAGGGAGAGGGGGAGCACTTGGCATAGGCTGCAGTGCAGTGAACAGGGACTGAAACCAATATCACCTGCAAGTGACCTGGAGATGATTAGGTGCTGGCAAGTATTGATTGTGAAGAGATGAAAAACCAAAGATTCACAATAGCTGACACTGTTAAATCTAGATTACAAATTATTTCATTACCTACCCCTATCTCTTAACCCCACACCATGGCTTATTTCCCTCTTACTGCTCTGTAGCAGCGTTCTGCTCAGAACCAGCTGAATCCCAAAGGATTCTTCCTCCAGTTCCCTCTTAATAAAGCTCAATATCTGTGGTTTCAAGAAATGCAAGACTTTTCCTAACAGTTCTCATTGTAACTCCAGCTACGCCCCTTCTTTGTAGCAGTTTCAGAATTTGGCAGTGCACAAAGTCCCGAGTCCAGTTCACACTCTTGTTTTGAACTCCATTACTGTAAGTCTGCTGGTATTGTATTGCAATGCTATCTTAATAACCACTCAGTCAAAAAATCAGTATTGTTTAGATAATGGTATGTAAGATGCTTATCAATGAATGCAGAAACCTTCAAGAGACAAATGCCTTCATCTATACCTACAATTAAAATAACCATATAATATCATACTAATACAAATTTTGGAAACTTGCTTATTTTCTGTATCATCTTTTACACTACAGTATATGGTCTTGATGCTGCCACAGAACTGTATATGCATAAATTTTTGCTGGATCAAATTCCTTGCTGAATTAGAACTGCCATATCAAAACCTAGATGAGCCTACTACGTACCCACATACATGGCATTTCAGAATGACTCCTCAAATGTTTTATTTAATACATCTACGCTGTATTAAAATCTATGTTGTTATAATTCATACATTTCGTATTCTTCATGAAGCTGCTGAGAATTAATGATCATTATTATAATCACAAACTATTCTTCATTTAAAGCAAACAAAATTGTGAAAGGTTAAAGGTACATCTGCCACATTACCAGCAGGTCTGAAATTTTCATTGTAAAGACATTTTAAAGAGAGACAGAAAAATATTTGAAATGAATATACGCATCTTCTCTCTGCAATTTACCAACCATACTGATTTCTGGGTTTTTGTGAAAGACATCTATAACTTACTAATTAAAGTCCTGTTCTTCATATTTTAGAGTAAGAAAAATACTTAATGGTGAGGTTATATTCCTGTAATGTACATGTGAGTGATTTATACTGGAAGCAAGTGCAGCACTTTACATTCAGCATTTCTGGATATTTTTTTCTTGTTTTCTAGCTGAATGATAACAATTGCAGTTCTTTCTCCATGAACCCTCTCAGAAATAATTTCCAGCGTGCTTGGTGCACAGTCCATTCCGCGGGAGCTTGACTGATGTAAACCATAACTGAAATGTTGTGGTCAAGTTTGCAAACCTTATGAATAGCGTTTATGAACATGTGGGAGCAATCTTTCTAAAATAATGAACAAGAATGTACATTTTTAAGCCTATACAGGATAAAAGTTTCAGGGTCAAGATGGTAATACCTACTTGAATGTTCTTAACTCCTCTTAACTTTCATTCAAGTTATTTTGGTGCAGATATCAACAAAATCAAGAACAGAAGAAATATTGTATCTAAATACATTTTTAAAAAAATAAATAAAACCTAAGGATTGCCTGATCCAAAACTTAAAGCTAGTATAAGACTTCCCTTTATTTCATAATACTGTGGACCTTCTTCTGAAAAGTCAGTATGAAAAAGAATTCATTTCAAAACAATTTGATTTTATATTAGTATTTCATTCCATAGAAGTCATCCCAGCATACCAAAACAAAGTGATTGCATTTTTTGAAGCATACTCTTCTTTCTGATAATTTGTTGTATTTTTCTACTTATATGACATCAATCAACCCCCTGGATTGTGCCTGAAAAGATTATTTTAAAAGGTGGTATCACATATTGCTCCTTCAGCACATGTGGAAGAGAGAGTGCATTTTTTTCTGTTTCTAGTTAAAGACTGACTGCACCACAGTGATCCACTTGTGCAGATATTTTCTACTGGCAGGATGTTGAGAGATTTACACTTGAGAATACTTGATGTTTATTTGATAGAAACTACCCTGTAAAGGAACTAGCGTCTCAAATGAAGATTCAATATGTCTTTGTCTGATATTCCTACCAAAAAGAAAGAAGATGCAAAGAGTCCAGCCAAAAGACTGCTATAATATGCAAAAATTTTATGTATCCTGTATCCATATAACGCAGCAACGCTTCAGTGCATACTACAGAACTGTAGTAGTTTCACATTAATCAGGCACTGTCTTATTTATTTGAGATATGTCTGATTTCATCCTACACATCCAAAGTTTAGGATGTTTCATGAGGCACAGCCATTAGAAAATGCACACAGAAAATAGATACTTACGATGTATTATCGACAAATAGCTACACTTTGGGATATTATCAGGCCCCATATTCTAAAGCTCAGTTTAGCTAATAGTTAAACCTGCAAGTTCAGAAACTTCTTTCTATTTTCTTTACAGTGTGCAGCCCACAAGAAGACACAGTATGTTACCTCAGTTTCTGGAGTAGGAGATGGTGTAATGGAACCAAGCGATCCTTTCCGTGAGCCTTGGAGATCTGTTGGGATGGACACGGGACGTTGCCATTGAGTTGTTCCTGTTGGTATGTGCCAGTAGTAGATCCCAGCAATGTCATTTATTTTTTTCCAGCCAGGTGGTAAGTCTGGGTCTGTCTGAAATGAGTGATCACTCCATATATCTGCTGGGAATGGGGGGGAGGGAGGGGAAGGAAAATTAATCAATGTTACTAAGACACGAACAGTTCTTCTATGGGTCTGCCCCTGATGCAAGTGATGCACAGCTGGTACTACTGTTGTACAGTTCCTGTGTAAACGAACACCAGAAAAACATACTGAATTATTGAGGCTCAAAGTAAGGTGAAAAAGCCTCATTTGACTTGGCCTATGAAGAAAGGAAAAAAATACGCTACTTACCAAAGAGCTGTTCTAATATGGCAGCTATCTAATACCATCCAATAAACTAGCTCTTCTAATAAGGTTTAGTTTCAAGCACATTAAATCACAGCATATAAAGAAAAATCTGGAGTTGTGGTGTACTCTATCCTCTTCATCACAGCACCCTCCCTTCTCAATGCATGGTAGCAGAGCATGTATTTCTGCTAACCAAAGTCAGCTTATCAAAACAGAAACACACACCCCCCAAACAACCCGCACTGGGTTTACTTACAGCATCTAAAAGACTGCTTGTTCAAAACAATGAAAACAAAAGAACTGAGCAAGCACTTTACACACACACCAATTGTCACAAACAAACATACTGTTTTCAATTGGTTTTATAATAGGGTGGGTGGGTGGGTGGGGAAATCAAA